GCAGGGTGGTGGCCTGTCCCCTCCTGCCATCCCACCGCTCCCTGCGGCGGCTCCATTGCCAGACCAGCCGCAGGCAGGATTTTACACCCTGAGGAGGGAGCTGAGCTCGTGCCAACACAAGTCCGTCGATGGTCTGCCCTTTGCATTGTGATGGCAGCTCTCCATTTCGCTATTTGTTCCTGGACACAAGTTATTGTTTTCACTCCTTTCCCCTCACTGCAGAGTGATAGTGGCTGCTGGTGGTGGTGTCCCTCTGCCCCAGGTCTGGCGGGGTTTGTATGGATGAAGAGGATTTGGAGCTGAGGCCAGCGCTTACACCTCAACCCTGTGCCTGCCCTCTGCACTCGGCTTTGCCAAGGTAGCAACCCTTGTTCAGAGAAAGTTGTTGGGATGAGTGTAAATGAGTTTGCCTGCAGAACAGCCTGTGCTGCCTGCAGAGGCCAGGCTGTGGGGCTGCAGGGTCTTGCTTTTCTGCCTTGTCTAAATATTAGAGCCCAATGCACAGTTGGTGAACCATCCTGGGGTTCCCACACCTGCGCCCAGGGGTGCCTGATATCCAGGAGGTTTGTAGCTCACGTAGGAGCCTCTCAAATTGCATGTCGTACTCCAGAGACTAGTTTTGGGCATCACTGTGACCTGTGGATGCCCTGACTGTGCATGGAGGGCGTCAGCGTTTTCTGTGCATGGGGAGTACATGCTGCTGCTGCCTGCCTCTGCCCTGGCTGCCTGCAGCACTGGAGAGGTAGCAACTCACTGGTGGCAAGGGCACCGGAGCAGGAAAAGGCAAATAGCCAAGAAGGAGATCTCCTTTGCTGCTGTTAGGTTTCCAGCTGGCTGCTGGTGTTCACAGAGCAGCCAAGGGAGTTGTGCCCACAGGTTTATGTGCTTGGCAGCTTCCCCCAGGCTCTGTGCAGGCTCCAGCGTTTGCGTCTCCTGTCATTCTGATGTGCCATCCATCCTCTTTCCTGTAGTTTTAAGTCCACTGTTTAAATCACTTGCAGGCCATCCCATCAACCCAGGCTAGAGGAAAGTAGTCCTAGCCTATGGGCAGGCTCAAGGCTGCCCATCTGTAGGCTGCAGGTCAAGAAGGGCTGGAGGGGTAAGAGCCGCTGCAGGGTTGCTTGCTGCACAGCTTCCCCAGAGCTCTGGCTGGGTCAGCCAAAGCAGCCCTGCTCCTCCCTGTGCCTCTTCGCTCCCGCTCACACTCTCACCTGACTCTTCTGAGAAGAGTCCCAGGCTCGCACCGCGTGTCAGTGGGGTGGTCCAGCTCACTGTATGCCTGCCTGCTCCTGTCTGGCTCTGTCCCCACGCTGCCATGGGGCAGGCCCTTGGGTTGGTGCCTTCTGGGAAGAGCCATCACACTTGCTGCAGAAGCTGCTTACTGCCAGAGCGGCTCCTGGGCACCGCTCAGAGCATCCAGACAACCCGCTGGGCCCCTTGGCATGTACCCGGGGTACCTGCCCGCATGCCGGGGTGGCTCTGCCAGGTCCCAGGCAGCAGGGCACAGGGAAGTGACCTCCGCCTGCCTGTGCCCCCTTACTGGGCTCAGGCTCTTGGGGGAAGGAGGGAGCAACCGCACAAGAGGGGTCTGCACCAGCATCTCTCTGGAGTCCTGCTCTGAGATAACCTTGATTCTCCCTCTCGTCAGCCACTGAGCCCTGGTGCAAGGCAGTTTGGGCACGGGTGCTGGCTTTCTCTCCTGTTTCCAGCATCCCAGACCCTGCTGCGGGATCACACATCCCTTAAAGCTGGTCTTTCTCCTCTGGACGTGGCTGGAGGGAGGGTTTGAGCCGAGCCCGGAGAGCAGCCTGCTGCAGCTGCTGGTACGAGGCTGCAGTAAAACATTACGAGTGTGAAACAGGTCCAGCCTGGGCTGTAAAGCTGTCACTGCTAATGGAGTTCATCTCCGCTTTGAGTGGCGTAGCTCCCCTTTACACACATGGCTGGAAGAGCCAGAGTTGAGTGAAGCAGAGGGTACATACAGTATGGCAAAGTTGGAAAACTCACTTGCTGAGCAAAATACTTTCAGCCTTTTCCCATATTTCCAGCTGGGCCCCTCCAAGCAGTTTGTGCCTAAGACAGCATGCAATTCCTCCACCCCTTTGTCCTGGCAGCCAGGACAAAGTGCTTGGTAAAAGGGCAAAAGAGCATGATACATCGTAAATATTACAGCCTGGCCCCTTGCCAGGCCTACGCAGAGAAATCGTCTTGGCCATTCATCTATCCGTGCAAGCTGCATCTGGCAAAGTGGCACTTAATGTCACCCATGCTCATTTTTGTCTCAGTGTTGTAGTTCAGGCTTGCTTTAAAAGAAGAAAAAAAAAAAAAAGAAAAGGAAAAGTGCTTTGTGCTCTCTGGGTCTAATTTGTTAGTGAGTTTTTCCTGGGGGGCTCCCCAGCACAGCGTGGGACCCGTGCAGGGTGCTGGTGCTGAGGCAGGCAGGGCTGGGATTAGAGCTTCCCCCAAGCTCAGCTTTCATTCTCCACTGTGATTAATTGCAGTTAACGCTCATCTGTAATTTTAGAGAACAATTGGATGACGTGCCTTGCGGTTGATTTAATTGAAACCTGATGAGGCGTCAGAAGGCTGCTGTGCATTGGGGTGAGCTGTGCTGGGATCCCCTGGGAACCCCATCCCCTCTCCCCATCCTCAGCAGTGCCTCAGGGGGCTCAGGCCCCCTCCTCCATTTCTCTTGGGCTGAGCTTCTGCTGTAGTTCCTGGGTCTCCTTGCCCTGGATCTGGGTTTCCTCACCCTGGAGTTTTGTCACCAGTGTGGATATTCTCAAGTGCAGTAGCATTAAGGATTTGGGGTTTTCCACCGCTGCAGTATGGACTGCTGGGGTGGCTTGGGGTCTTTGGGTTACACGTCTCCTTCCCCATTGCAGAAATCCTCTGCTCTGCCTCTGCTTGAGTTGTGCTAGCGATTTGAGGCAGTTAGGAAGGCTGAGGGAAATTGCTTTCAGGTCAAGACCTGCTTTAGCCTGTAGTGAATTACTACGCCTGGGTTTTAAATCTTTGCAAACAGAGGATTATGGTGGTGGTAAATACTAGGTAGGCCTGGGGATTGCCGTACTGCCGGCTGAAGGGAGTGTGGCCTTTCCCTTTAGCAAATAGAGAGTGATGGATGTTAAAAAAATAAATTGAGATACAGCCTGGGTTGTAGCTTAGATGCTATTTCTCCTTGATTTATATTTCTGCTTGGATGCTTCGCAGAGTAAGCAGTATATTTCTTGCTTAACCTTTCCTTCTTAAATGAGGACAGCGTGGTAGATACGACCAATGGCCGAGAGCCCCGGATTAGTGCAGGATCTGCAAAAAATTCAGAGCCGCTGTACAGCCCAGTGTCTGCTTGATACACAAACACCAAGTGATGAATGCATTTGAAATGTCAAAGCTGCATTCCTGTGCCAGAGGATAGCTGCCCGTGCCTGGCTGCTCTCAGCCTCCCTGGGTCTCTAGTCCTGATGGTGGCTTTGGGGGCTGAAAATGGAGCGACTGCCTCCTGCTCTCAGCAGAGCAGGGATAGCCAGCAGCCTGTCCCGACCATGGCGGGGTGAGGGGGTGAGGAACCACGGTGGTGTGAAGGCTGGAGCGTGGGCAGCGCTGCAGAAACGCCAGCCTGATGGGAAACCCTGCCTGTAGCCACAGAGGGTGCAGGCAGCAGAGGGTGAGGGCAGGCTGGGTTCATCCTCCTGCCCAGAACTTGCAGGCAGGAGGAAAGCTGAGGGCCTTATTTGCTGATTGCTGTGAAGGCGGTGGTGACACGTACATCTAGCCTGCCCAAAGCTGTAACGGCACCTGCATGTGGTGAGTGGGGCCCAAGCAGGTTGACACAGTCTTTATAAGCCAATTAGTGCTGAGTGCTAAGCAACCTGACCCATTTGCTCTTGGCTTTTATTATGTATAAACAGTGATGGCTCCACTCCACTCGCAGTCCCCAAGTAGGGCTGAGCTTGGCTGGCCAGAAGATGACCATGGCTGTGCATGGGGCTGGGGGAACCCATCTGATAGTCTGATCTCTCACAGCGTTTGCTGCATTCCACTTGGCCTGCTGCAATCCATACAACATCCCCAAATCCACCTGGGACAAGCCGTCTTGACGAGGCACATCTGCACCTTCTCCCAAGCAACATTGCCATCAGTTGGTCTTGTGTGCTGCAGAGGAGGCTATGACGAATGCAGACAAGGGCCTGACCCTGTTAACGAGCTCAGGTCTGGCCTTAATAATGATGTCCTCCAGCCTCTTCTCGCTCTTGACATTCCTACTGCAAGTGGAAGATGCTTGCATGTCTGCACAATCCTCTTTGTCTCTAACAGAGTACCACCAGCAATAATAAAGTTTTCCAAGCTGCTGCAGACCACCAGCAGGTCTGTGCAGGCAGGGGTCTGTCATCTCTGCCCTCAGGGAAGCCCCTGTCAGGGAGGCTTGCTGGCAGGTAAAGAGCTTGTGCGGGTGTTACTGAGGGTGTCAGGTAGCTGACTGAATTATTGGTGTTGTCCGTGATGGGAATTGCTCTCATACGTCGAGGCAGGGATGGATGCTCTGTGGGCTGGAGCTGGGGAGCGCCCGTGGAGTTGGTAGCTTTTCCCAGAAGTAGGTAGCAGAGGGTGAGCATTGGGTTTTGTGTGGCTGCTCCTGCCAGAAGCACTTCCAGAAAGAGAGGCTGGGTGAAAGCTACCTCTTGCTTTTGTCGGTTGTATGGAAAACAGGGCTTCTGGAAGGAAGGAGGGAGTGGATAGAAGCAGCAGGTCACCGTAAATAGTTTCTGAAGTAAATCATATCTGAAATACACACTGGTAAATGCTGTTGTGATGGTTGAAGGTTGGTAGCTTTATGTAGAGGTTGCAGCTGGATTGAGTTCGCCCTGAATTCGCTGAGTCTTGCCCGCTGGGCTGATTGCACCAAATCCTCATTGGGTGTAATTTGTCAAGTAGTCTTTGGTAATCACTGGTTACAATTTTGTCATATGTATCTGAATTTTCCCTCTTTGTGCTTTCAGAAATAACACAGATCATCCAGGTAGACTTGGACCTGAAGTACAAGACCAACATCCGAGACCTGTTTGATGAGTTTGACAACTTCCCAGATGGAGCAGTCATTGGGATTGCCAGGGAAATGCAGCCAGTGTACAGGTACAGCCCCCTCCCCGTGGGGAGCAGGGGGTGGGCAGTGGGTGGCTGGCGTGATTTCTCTTCAACTCAGGTTGCTCTTTGGAAGAAAATGAAGGGGGAAGCAGTCTTCCTGCTTTAATCCCTACAGGGGGGATTAAGTTAATCTGAAACTTCTAGGTTGTTATGAACCAAGCGTACAGTGTCACTGTGGTTTCCTTGTTCTCACGCACAGTCATAAGGCTTCCAGGGCCAAGTTCCTGGTCATCGGTGCCAAAATCCAAACCTAGATTATAGCATATCTGCTCGAGGTGTGTTTGCCCAGCCATGCTGTGATTGCATTCTGGAGCATCAGTTTGTATGTCAGGGGCTTAGAGGTTTTGGCTGTGAATAACGCAGAGAGTAGGGGTTGGGTTTGGGCAACAGTGAGGTTCTGTGTCCCTGGAGTGTCTGTGCATCTTCTGCTGAAGAAATATTCCTCCAGGGAAGACTGAGTGGGCAACTCTCTTGGTGGCCTGGGCTTGCAAACATCAGGATAGCCCCATGGTCACTTGCTCTTCAGACCCTTGGTCCACCAGCTGGTGCCAACTGTGGTGGTAGCTAGCAGTGAGAGCCACGCACTGAGGGGTGGCCCAGCTTTTCCCACTCATGGGCCACTAGCTTGAGGGACACGGGTATTTCCAGGCTGGTGGTTAAAGAAATTGTTATAGTTCAGCCTGCATTGTTCCAAGGATGAACCTCTGGTTTTGTTTTAATCCAGGGTGAATCAGATCATCAACTCAGGATGCCTTAGCGGCATCTCGGCTGAGCAGAATTTGAGACACTGAGATGGCTTGGCTGGATTTGCTAATCTTAATGTAAATGTTCTTGGAGATAGATAAAAAAGCTTAAGAGCTCTGTATGTCTTTTCCTTCCCTACTGGAAGCCTTAGTAGTGAGATTAATAACTGAACCTCCTAAGACATGTCCAGCAGCACTCTTGGGCAAAGGCTGAGCTGCAAAGATCTGGAGCAGCCGTTCCTGCTGCATGTGCATCTGGATTGGATGAGGGTGGAGACAGAAGTTCACCAGCGGGAGACTGATGGTTATTAATCATCACTGATCGTTTTCTAGAAGCCTAAGCCAGCTGAGAACATGCTCACGAGACCATTTCTGGTTGCTCAAACTGCAGAAATCAGCACTGTTCACAAGCTGAAAAAAGACATCTCTGTGCCCATGGCAGAAGTGTCACCTTCCCTCCCAGCTTGTGACTTTAGCAGGGAGAGCTAGGATCAGAGGAACGTGAATGCTGAGGTCTCATCTCCATAGGGCAGCATGGCACTTGGAGCATGGAGGGCTCCTGTATCCACTTTGGGTGTCCTGGTAGGATTTTAGTGCCTAGAATGGTAAATCCAGCCCCCGGGATCATATCCAATTGTTAGAACTTAAAGTGGGATGGAGGGAGCAGCGACAGCCGATTGTGGCCGCGGGGCTGTGTCAGACTGTCAGCCTCAGTCAGTGCTGCCCAGCAGGGCAGATCTCGTTTGTTAGTGGTGCAGCCTGTAATGGGATAAATTAAGTGTCTGTTTGCCTGCAATTAGTCCACGATGGAATCGCTCCGTGTTTCTGTCTCTGTGGGGATTCGTTTTGCATTATTTACACGCATAGCTAGGGAGTGGGGATGATATTCCGTTGACTGGATGTGGTTTGTGAGACTGGGCATGCCTGGAAGGGACCGAGTTAAGCTTTGGGGTGCTCCGCTGGAGGGAGAGGTCTCCGGCACGGCAGGGGACAAGGCACGGGACCGCACGGCTGAGCACTGAATATCTGACCTGAGCCGGCCGTGCTTTCCCCCCTCCTGCTGCCCGTGGTGGGGACAAACAAGCGAAGCAATAACAGCCCTCACAGGCTGCATTTTTGGGCTGAACTTTCTGTTGTTGCAGTTCTGACATTCTGGGTCACTTTGGGCTATGTTGTGCTTTTCTTCTTGTGCTGTTTTGATCTTCATGTGAAAACAAGTTCCTGATCCTTTTTGTCGCCAGATCACCCGGTGCGGCGCGAGCTGTGCAAACGCCAGCCTGCCCTCCCGCCGAGCCCTCCGCTCCGGGGGGCTCACACCTCGCTACTAAAAGGGTTTCCAGGCAAAAACACGAGGTGATGAAGCCTGAGTGTCTTTGTGTAAAAAAAAAAAAAAAAAAGCTTTGCTATTTTTATACTTCTAGCAAGATAAAAATGTGTTCTAGGTGTGAAATAAGAGGTGCCAGCTCCAGCCATGGGACTTGCCACGTGTGCAGGCTCGAAGCATCAGTTGGGAAAGTGATTATGGAGGTGGAGGAGGGTTACGGGCTGATGGTGGGGTCTCTCCATTGACACTCGTGTTTTCCTCCCCACTTCACGCAGCTCTCTACTGCACCGGCGCTGCCCGGGGTTATTTATCCCGGCATTGCTCCATTGTACTCAAGGCATTACCAGCAAAAGCAGCAAGGTGATGTGGTTGGAGTTGCAGCCGAAGGAGATGCTAGCATCCTGGTACCTGTTCCCACAGCAAACCAGGAGGTGTTTTCCAAGCAGGACATGGTGCCTGGGGCTGTGAACTGTGGCTGTGGCTCTGCAGCAGTGTGGGTGCACCCGTGCTAGCAGTTGTGTGGGTGTGAACCACAGCTGTGCCAGCGCACGTTCAACGCTGAGGCCTTAAAAGCAGAGTAGCCAGCATAGGGGGAAATGTCAGATAGCTTGTGGAGAGTCAGCAGAGCTTTCCCGAGCTTGCTTACGGAGCTGTGGACTGGCACCCTCAGGGCAGGGTAGACTGGTCTGGCTGGGAAAGGTTTGGGTGCCACCTTCCCACCTCCGCAGCAATGGGGAGGATGGATGGAGGTCAATCCACTTGGCTGTGTTGGATCCTTTTTACATACTTGGCCTGTCAGAGGAGGTAAATGGGTGCAGACTAGCATATTTTGTAGATGATGCACCGTTTTCTGGGAGGCAGTGCTGGTCCCAACAGCTGCCCGTTGGCTGTCTGGCTGTAGGTTGCACAGGGGCACGCGGGAAACGGAGGAGTAAGAGAACAGCAAATAGGAAACATCCCAGAGCCTGCTTGCACATCCTGAAGGTAGGGGGAAACCTCCAGACAGCAAAACAGGATGGCACGGGAGCGTTTCCACTTGTTTGACTCACGCTGAAACAATGCCCGGCTGCTGTTTGTCTTGGACAAATGCATTTCTCTGAGCAACAGGATCTCCTGGCCCTCCTGCAAGGCAAACGCTGGGGTTTAACTGTTGCGCAGCCAGGGTCTGGACTGTCCTTTGGGATGGCTCAGG